GCAAGGGGACAACACTCGATCCCATACAGCAGGGACAGATGATATGAGCGCGAATTTCGCTGTACCACCTTCTCCTGGCAAGCCAGAGTATTGCACAACGTGTGTGTGTGTGCGATTCACCAACCATCTCTGCCTCCACACAGTGCTGGATCACAGCCATCGCCACCCGGCATCGCGGTGGTGATTGATGTCTGTTTTTAATGTTGCCAGAAGCCGTGCCCCCTCAAGATAAGACAGCGAGGTGCCGTCACCTCGTTTTCCCTCTTCAAGTTTGACCTGCCTACAGATATTTACTGTAGGTACAGATATTTACTGTAGGTACAGATATTTACTGTAGGTACATACATTTACTGTAGGTACAGATATTTACTGTAGGTACAGATATTTACTGTAGGTACAGATATTTGCTGTAGGTACAGATATTTACTGTAGGTACAGATATTTACTGTAGGTACAGATATTTACTGTAGGCACGTCAACTACGCCTCTATTTAAGGAACGAAATAGGTGGACTTCTCCACAAACCTGGCTGTCGCCTGATGAAGCTAGTTGTAATTACTGGCGAAACGTCGTACTCAGATTGTAAATGTTGTGGCTTGGCTCTCCAACACACCGGTGTGCTGTACCAGTGACGAATTGGCCATGTTCTGTTTACGTGACAACCCTTACCAGTTGGCGTTGTCGGGTAGTTGTGATTTTAACGACACATTTATAAATCTGCGCGATATACCTCCAAAGGACCAGTCTTATGGAAGATATTTACTCTTAAGGCGTTAGAGCCGAGTACATTATTTTCTCTGCACCCGTTATCCGCAGGTACGGGTTGAGCTGGAGGAGTGAAGATGGGGAGAGTGGGCACCGCACGTGTCGTGGTGTAGTAACCACTGGGCCGTGTCAATTGTTCGCTACACTGGCGTGTCGACAGCCGACGTTTTGCCAACTTTGGACATTGCTTACGGACGTCCCGATGTGGTGGAAGAACCACAGGGCAAGCATCGCACCGATTCTGAAGCCACAGAAGACCCACACTCGTCTGTGAAGACATAGCCTTGGCGCTATCAGAACGGCAACAAATACCCCATGGTGCCACTGATTCGGTTTGATGATTCGATTTTCACGGTTGCGTGGAAAAATGCCACTCAGTGCTGGGGTTCGAGGTTCGAGTCGGGGGTACCGAGGCTCGTTTCTCTCCACTTGGGTGCAATGTTAATGGCCGGCATTCCACAACCCTTTTTGCTGAACGAACGCAGATTAATCAGTCGTTGAGCAGCGTCAGTAAACACGCTGAAGCGAGCGGCATCTCATCTCCATACCACCACAGAGAAAGCGTGACTTTGTCTCTTACTCTGTCCGGTTTTTATTTATTTGTGAAGCCAATTTTTTGAGCGCATATATTTTGTGAAACGTTGATATTCAATTGAATATCGATTTTCTGCATTTTTAAATGTCAGTATTTTTTTAAAATTCCAAAATTAGTTAAACATTCGAGTCACGACGATATAATGCCACTATGGATCGATTTACGGCACAGACACTTCATTGATGACGCTTCATCTGCCACGATTCCAAGCTAATTTGAACAGTGATGTTTCTACCCTACGACGTTGAAGACAATCAGTGAGGGTTGTTTTTCTCATAAGGTCAAGCCACTTAGCAGGGGAAGAAAGAAGCCAAGCTAAGAACAAAAATCATAAATAAAATTATTTGTGTCAATTTGAATAAAAATGTTACGTTCAGTACTGTACACTATTGTCACGTGCATTTATAGCACTAGGGGACTATTTTCTAACATGTTATAGCATTAAGAATTGTTACTACTTTATATATAGACTCGATCCCAAACGAAGCAAATGCGCAGTGAACACCTCCGGCCTATCTGCCCATGGATTGTGATGATGACGATGATGCAATCCCACGCCTGTCACCCTTCTTGTGTGGAACGTCGGGCTTCTGGCCCCGTGCACAGGAATGTAACCGTCCAGCCTGGAGTCCCCGCCACCACGAGCCAAGGGCGAGCACCGCCTGGGCAGCGGAATCCTCCTGCTCCTGCTCGTCCTGTTGCTCCTCCTGCTGCTCCCTTGCGACCTGTTTAGTCACCGCCAGGATCACTTTTACACGTGGCAAGACTCGCGCGTTAGATCCAGCAAAGCCGCCAAGATTCTGCTTCAGAAGGCTAAATATCCGGACAAAGATTGAAAATACACGGATAGTGTGGTCTTTACATATATGTTATAACTTTATTACGTTGGGTTTGAAATATATATTCCTGATGTTATTGTCTGTTCATTTAGATTTTTCTCTTACATATACGGTAATTATCTTAGGTGAGGCTTCATAGGTTAACGTTGAAGCCCAATAGGCCCGCAGGCCCTCGGAGATGAGGGCCCAGAGGGCCGGAATCTTCCCGTGGCAGAAGCTGCCAGCAAGCACGCGGGTGCGTGCAGTGGCGGCTCAGTGCCCTTCACTCGTTGTCAGCGCGGGGACACTTTCACCGATAAGACGCCGTCAGTGAGGGACGCCACGTTTGAAACAATTGGGTTTGTGACAGCAGCACGACGTCGATGATGATGGTGGGGTGGTGGTGGTGGGGGAGTGGTGGTGGTGATGGTGGTGGTGGTGGGGGGGTGGTGGTGGTGATGATGGTGGTGGTGGTGGTGGTGATGATGGTGGTGGTGGTGGTGGTGATGATGGTGGTGATGGTGGTGGTGGTGATGATGGTGGTGATGGTGTTGATGGTGGCGGTGGTGGTGGTGATGATGATGATGGTGGTGGTGATGGTGGTGGTGGTGGTGATGGTGGTGGTGATGGTGGTGGTGGTGATGGTGGTGGTGGTGATGATGGTGGTGGTGATGATGGTGGCGGTGGTGGTGATGGTGGTGATGGTGGGGTGATGGTGGTGGTGATGGTGGTGGTGATGATGATGGTGGTGATGGTGGTGGTGATGGTGGTGGTGGTGGTGATGGTGGTGGTGATGATGGTGGTGGTGATGATGGTGGTGGTGATGATGGTGGTGGTGATGGTGATGATGGTGGCGGTGGTGATGGTGGTGGTGGTGGTGATGGTGGGGTGATGATGGTGGTGATGGTGGTGATGGTGGTGGTGATGGCGGTGATGGTGGTGGTGATGGTGGTGGTGGTGATGGTGATGGTGGTGATAGTGGTGGTGGTGATGATGGTGGTGGTGATGATGGTGGCGGTGGTGATGGTGGTGATGGTGGTGGTGGTGATGGTGGTGTCACTCTTCATGTATTGTTGGGGGCCACATGTCAGGGGCCGCGCTCAAGGCCGCCAGGGGCCGCCCGTGGCTCCCGGTGGTGGCCACGCTTTGTTGGGTTGGGCCCGCGGGGTGGTGGCCACGCTTTGTTGGGTTGGGCCCGCGGGGAAGAGACGTGGCGAGAGGCAGGAGCCGGTCTCGCCTGGGAGGACGGACAGAGCCCGCGAGGGGGCACGAGGAGCGGCTCGAGTGTGGGGGGAATCCGCCCCCGTCACGTCGATCTCCTCCTCGTATCATCAATGGGGGGATGGACGAGGCGACTGAAGAGCGTGAGGGTGAAGGGCGATGTCCCGAGGGGGCCTGCAGGGTTCGCGTGGCCCATAAAGCGCGTTGAGAAATAGCCGGTGACGTGATGGGAAACCCCGACGGTCCGCACACAACAAAGACAAAGATCCCCCGTGACAAACTGTTTGGGGCAAGTGGTGTTGGGGAGTAGCGCCTGTGAAGGCCGGCACGGCACAACAAGGCGGTGTGTGGCCAGCAACACGCCCGGACGCCTTTGTCTCCCCACCGCACCGGGTACTCATTTGAGGCTGAGTCAACCTAGAGGAGGCTTAGCATCGGTGCGGATAATCATCACCGGTGTTGGTGGCCGTGAGTGGGAATCGAACCCGGTTCGCCGGGTTAGTTGCGCGCAACACTCTAACCGCTGTGCCACCGCTCCCCGCTAAGGCTCCCACGCACACACAACACCCCCACCTCTACATGGAGTTGACGCCGTTACGGAATATGCCCTGACAAGTGTCAGGTGATGTTGGTCAGCCTCGCAGAGAATGGTTATTGCTTAAGAAACTCCTTAACACGTCATCAGCTGTTTGACAAGCTGCAGCAAATAGCCCTTTATAAAGTGTGTATATGTATATCCTCGTTGTGACTGTCTCAGCGCCTCTGTGACCCCACCTGGATTTTATTTCCACGAGCGATGAACAATCCGGAAACACATTTCTGTGACAGAGCGACATTTTAATCGGTCCGTGCTACCCGCACGCTACCCCAGTTCTGTTGTTCACAGTTACAACTTCTACTGTTAAACAATTACGCTCTGCTCGCCGGAGTGAGCGCAATTCTGCCCAAATTGGAATCCCGCCGCTGTCAACATCTGGGGTGCTGGAGCACCCAGCGCCTGCCCACTGCGCTGGGTTGAATGTCACAGAAAGCGGCAGTCGTGGTGATAATCCACAGCACCCGCAGATGAGCTGCAGTCACCGGCCGCCACTCGTCCACTTGTCACTCTGTATGGCTGCTACCATGGTTACTCTTCCCGTGCATTTTACCCATTAATTGCTCTCGCCCTTATTGAGGACTCGGTCTTCGAGACTGGGGTTTACTCTCATCCACACGGTGTTCAACCACCACCACCACATTCCTGGTCACAGCAACACACCACACTACTGGTCACAACAACACACTCACCCACACACTCACCACACTGCCGCTCACAACAACACACTCACCCAATCACTCACTCAGGCACTCACCACACTGCCAGGCACAGCGCTTCTCTGTTTTCCCCCTCGCACTTTGGAATTCCCACCCATCATCATTGTCTGCTTTGCCCCCAAGCTCTTACAATAATAACCTGTTACAGCTGTGATATGAGTGATGTTTGTTGCTGGCCGCTTGATGTTCTCCGCTGCTTGGTGAGAATTACATAAACAAATCACGTGGGGAGTTTCCCACGCTGCAGCGCATATAAAAGGATTCGGCATTTCCTTGAAGCGTCTCCACATCATGCGCTCTCGGCACGCTTGCGCTTCTGGGGCATCCGTGCAGCAGCAGCTGCTGCTACTGCTGCTCGCAGCATTGCGTGTACACAAAGCAGCAGCAACAGGAGCAGCATCAGCGGTGTGTGTGTACCTCTCCACTGATGCAGCCTCTCTCTCTCTGTGATTGCTGTTACCTGCACCGCGACGAAGGCTTCACCCCCGCTGCCCGTAATTCACCCCCAGCTGTGTTCATGTTGTTTGTGGCATTGGCAGATTGCGGATGGAGCCCATGGGAGGAATATCATCGTCCTCGAGGAAGGTAAGGCCGCCTTACGTGACTTCTCTGTTAGAATGTATGGACAGCGTGTCGATGTATCGTGCGCCAGTCTCTCGTGTGAGATATCCTGCGATAGCGAGCTTTCTGCGGTGATGAGTATATTGTTGGCCAGCGTGTACGTGGACTCGTGTGCACGTTCAACAAAAGTCTAAGTGTCCCCTCTGCTCCCGGGAGGAAGCGCCAAACATTGCCTCATCTGAAGTATATTCATTTCCCCCAGTTAACATTGCTGTTAAACATATAAATCTGACTGCTAATAGTTTATAGCGATAGTGAATATAGGTAATAGCGAAGTAAAATCGAACTCGTGTGGCTTGGTGCTCAACTCCTGTGGTAGCCCTGAGCCTGTTGTGGATGTTCCACATTCCTATGGTGGGGGCCAGTCCATTTCACAGGACAATTGTAGCTGCCCTTCCACAAAGTGGTACTAATTTCTATCAAGTGGGGTTGAACTCGCAGACTCTCAGTTGGGAGCCGGGCTCTCTTGCCGGATTCCCGGCACATGAAGACCGATTCCTATAGCTCAGCTGGACATGACAGACCTCTCCTGGCTGTGTTGGACATTTTAACATTTTCCCCACTTACCTTCGCGACCTCCCAGTGTGAGACGTACATCTGTATCCTGGTCCCGCGGGATATGTAACGATAGCTCATCGTTCTAACACACGCAATGCAGTTAAAAATAACGTGCCCGAGCTGCCATACGCTGGAGGCACTTTAATATGTAACAGTGATTTATATTTGTGCAGCATGTTCAATGGCTTTTGTGTCGGTTTTTATCTTTGCTGTAACTTTATTTTAATTGTTTTACTTTTGTCATTTTTGGTGAGCCGGGCCACCCTTGAAATAGAGACTCCGGTTTCTCATCGGGTTTAAATCCGCCCTGTCAGGGGAGAACTGGCGTGTCGCGGTCGTTCTCAAGCGCGCACGCCAATGGGTTGTTCCCACTAGGTGGACCCACTGCGTGTAGAATCGCATTGACAGGGGTGGCTCCGCATTACCGCTGGGCTGCAATCCCACGGTTGAATTAATCCATAACTCAACCGATGATCGGGTTTGATCCCTCGACACGGCAATGCGTGAACCAAAGCAACGTCTCACTCCTGTTCCCATGTGCGCCTGGGGTCAGCGAGGTCCACGGTGACCCATCCTTCGCCTTGCAAAATATCGTCATGGCGCGATTATCGATTATCGTTTGATTTTTTATTGAATGTTTAGTTTCACGGCAATGCTTATGAAATACACGTAACTCGATCATTTCAGTTGTGAAGAATTTCCTATTTCCTGTTATTGAAAATACTGTCTTTAAAAAATGTGCATGGAGAAATTGAAAGTGTGGTGGACATTTTTCCATTTTCTTCGTCACTTTACATGTTTCCAATCTATGTTATAGCAGGTTATTGTACAGATTGATGACTGTATTCTGTAATTACAATGATATTTTATATTTTCGTTATCAAGTTCGATTTTCCGAAAGCACCCGAGCCTGTCCTTGCTCCCCTTTTTACGCCCCCCTTTTTATCATTGCCCGAGATATGAATACTCGCGCCTCATGTGTCCCTCCGAAAGAATGCCTCGAGTAGTTTAAGGCGCCTCGCTGGCGACCGCCTGGTCTACAGGAGTGCGTGGGTTCGATCCCGGCCCTGGCGCCTGTATATTTGGAGTTTGCGTGTTCTCGCCGTGGTAGTGTGGATTTGTCTCTGGGTACTCCGGTTTTCCCCTCCACATCTAAAAACATGAATTTAGAGTATTTGGCGATTCGAAATTTCCACTTGAAATGCCACTTTGTTGAGCTATCATTTGTGATAGACAGATCTCGCTTATGAAAAAGAGCCTCATAGCTCAGTGGGCCTTACCTGGTAAATAAAAAATAGTTTACAGTTTTGTATTTAACTAGTTGACAACTTTTGTGTTGCTTACATGTATCGCGAGGCCATCTTCGCAGCCTTCTTTGCATTGCTTAATCGTTTCTTGCCGTTCATTCTCATCGCTCATTACAATGACCACGGCATCAGCAAACCTGGGATGGTTTATATTTTATCCGCTTACCAGTCCGCCTTTATATCCTGTCATGTCACGATGGATACATTTGGTGGGATAACATCTTCTTTCCTGACATCCCTTCTGATATGTATTTTGCTACCTCTTGAAATATCAATGTAGCCGATTCATCATTGTCAATGGTTTTTAACACTTCTAAATCTTTTCTGTTATGGCCTTGATTTCTGAGGGCCTGGCTGGATGACTGCATCATTTTACACCGACTCGAACGCCCTTTTCGGAACGACATTCGACATCCATCGGTCCTTTCCAAAATATTATTGACCGCTCGTTCGTTCGTTTCTCAGTCTGCTTGTCCTGCTGAGGGTCGCTGCTGTCGCCGCGGGTTGAGTAGTGGGGGTCCAGACCTCCCTTTCCCTGGCGACAGACTCCAGCACTACATTACTATACACTACTATACATTACTATACACTACTACACTGTACACTACTATACACTACACTATGCACTACTATACACTACACTATACACTACTATACACTACTGTACATTACTATACACTACTATACACTATACATTACTATACACTACTACACTATACACTACTATACACTACACTATGCACTACTATACACTACACTATACACTACTATACACTACTGTACATTACTATACACTACTACACTATACACTACTATACACTACACTATGCACTACAATACACTACACTATACACTACTATACACTACTGTACATTACTATACACTACTATACACTACACTATACACTACTATACACTACTACACTATACACTACTATACACTACTGTACATTACTATACACTACTACACTATACACTACTATACACTACTATACACTATACACTAATATACACAGACTTTAACTCTTTCTGGGGAATTCCCAGGCCAGCTGAGCGACATCGTCCCGCCAGCGTGTCCTGGGCCGGCCCCGAGGTCAACGCCCACTACGTTAATCTATTTGGTCAATGGTAGAAAAACCTTTCCTAAGCCCAGCTTGCTCACATGGCTGGTTGGCTTCTAAGATATGTATTATTCTGTTGCGAACGATCGTTTTGAACACTATATGTACGTGTGTATCTGACAGGGTGTGATTCTTCGAGTCAGTTGTGTCTCCCTCTTTGTGTAAAGGAATAATTGAGGCAAATTTCCATCATTGATCTATTTCACTTATGTCTCAGTAGTAAATGATAATTTCACGATGCCCACAGTTATCCCATGCGATCCGGGGGCGCTCCCCGTTTCATGCTACGAAGGGCAGAGGTTACGTCTTCAAGCGTGAGATCTTGCATTGTCTCTTTTTCACCCAACCAACGGTTCCTAGGATGTATGCTTTAGTTTGCACATAGATATTGTTTTAAGGTTCTATCTCCATTGTGCCACGGTTAAAAATGGGCGACCATTTTTGAATTTCCAATCATCAACCTCCATTTTGCTGCTTCCAGGATCGCGCGACTCGTCTCGACACCGTTGTCGACGTTACTGCTGTGCTCTCTGACATATTCTCTCAGTTTCCCCCGTGGATTCACTGGGCTCGACGTGCTCTAGATTCGTCTTCCACCCCTCTTTGCGTCTCTCCTCTTCTTCTGCGTGTATTCGTGCGCTCAGATAACTCGTGCACTGCTCTTTGCACCTTGCCCCTCTCTTGCATCGCACCGTGCGTTCGCTATTACCATCTCCGTGTCAGTTTCTGGTGACGTTTCATTGGCAATTCCCATCTGTAGCTTTAAACTGAGTTTATTTTCCAATACCTCTTGAACTAGATTGTTATGACATCAACGTTTCTTTTTGCCAGCAATTCGCTTTGCCCACTATTGGGCTGCGTGAAAGCCAAACTCTGATCTCACCACCCTGGGATCACCGCCCCCGTTGAATTTGCTGACGGATGAGAGGTATCTCAGACAAGTTGGGATTTTTGCCGTTAGAACCGGGTGACGTCCGTGTCTAACGTCTCCACGAGGGCTCCTCCACATCCTAGATGTGGTTGTCCACCTGATGAAGCTAGTTGTAATTACTGGCGAAACGTCGTACTGAGATTGTATATGTTGTGGATTCGCTCTCCAACACACCGGTGTGCTGCACTAGTGACAAATTGGCATGTTCTGTTTACGTGACAAATCTTACTAATTGGCTGTGTCGGGTGGTGGCGGATTTAACGACACATTTATATATTCACGCGATCTAACCCAAGAAAACCTCTTTATAGATTGTTTATGTTTTACGAGGTGTTCTTCATCTTCACGTCCCTGCCGATTGCCGACTCTGATGCAGCGTTTCTCAACCCTGTCCACTGCACGGCTCTCACCACTTTCCAGTCAGCTCGATCTTCGCGGCACTCTGTCCAGTTGTGTGCGTGGCCAAGGGAGAGGGGAGGGCGGGGGCTGGATCGGTCACTGAACGGCACGGAAAAGAGCTCCTCTGTCCCAGCTTGCGAAAACGAGCGAGGTTCTTTGCTGCAATTTCCGAAAATACCACGGCACACCTGGGACTTGAGAAGCTCTCCCCCCATAGATGTTTCCCTTATCCAGTCACTCGTTTCAATGCCTCATTTGTCAACCACCGGCTTTGCTCCGGCAGTTAGTGGGGATTTGTGGCTCCTCAACTTGGCAAGACATGAAAGTATTTGCTCTCTTAATGTTGTCTTTATTACGTTGTTTTAGACGTTCATTTAAAGTACCCTCTGCTGGAATAAAGCATGCATTTATGCTCAACTCCATTTGCGGTACCGAGTCAGTGGTGGATTGTCAATATCCCTCGAGCGGAGGCGGCGGCCTGTCTCTCTGCCAGACAGCCACTGTTGATATTTCCCACGACTGGCAGTCCATTGCTGCAGTGCTCCACAATCTGTCTGCCATGGCAAGGTCCCAGCTGGTGGGCCGCTGTGGTATCTCCGTGGTTGTAGGAGAGGAAGCTGGGACAGACGACCTCTCGTCCGTGATGTTC